TCCCATGTGTCAATTTTTGTTTTTGTTGCAATTGCTTTTAGTGCCTTCTTCATGAAACCTTTGCCAGGACCTATGTCTAGAATGGTATTTCCTAGGTTTCTTCTTTATTTCTGGGCTCTCTTTGCTGTTCCATCGGTCTATGTGCCTGTTTTTGTGCCAGTGCCATGCTGTTTTGGTTACTATAGCCTTGTACTATACTTTGAAGTCAGGTAGTGTGATGCCTCCAGCTTTGTTCCCTTTGCTTAGGATTGTTTTGGCTATTCAGGCTCTTTTTGGGTTTTATATGAATTTTAGAATAGTTTTTCTAATTCTGTGAGAAAGAGTCATTGGTAGTTTGCTAGGAATAGTATTGAAACTGTAGATTGCTTTGGGCAGTATGACCATGTTAACAATATTGATTCTTCTTGTCTATGAGAATGGAATGTTTTCCTATTTGTTTGTATTGTCTCTGATTTTTTTCAGCAGCACATTCTCATTGCTGAGTTCGTTCACCTTCCAAGTAAGACTTTAATCCTACTTTAATCACATCTATAGAATCTTATTCTAAATATATTGTACATGCACCCAACATTGGAGCACCCAGGTTCATAAAACAACTACTCCTAGACCTACAAAAAGACTTAGACTGCCACACAATAATAGCAGAAGGACTTCAAAACCCCACTGAAGAATTAAGCAGATCATCAAGGCACAAAACTAACAAAGTAACTCTGGACTTAAATTCAACACTTGAACAACTGGACCTAATAGACCTAATAGACATCTACAGAACACTCCACGCATAAATTGTGGAATATGCTTTCTTCTCATCTGTACATAGAATGGACTTTAAGATTGACCACATGCTAGACCATAAAGTTAGTCTCAATAAATTTAAAATTATTGAAATCATACCAATTGTACCCTGAGTCCACAGTGGAATAAAAACATAAATCAATACCAAGATATCCCAAAACCACACAATTACATGGAAATTAAACAACTTGCTCTTGAATGCCCTTTGGGTAAACAGTGAAATTAAGGCAGAAATTTAAAAAAATGTTTTGAAATAAAGGAAAACACAAACACAACATACCCAAATCTCTGGGATGCAGTAAAAGCAGTGTTAAGAGAAAATTTATGGTGGTAAACACCTACCTCAAAAGGTTAAAAAGATCTCAAATTAACAATCTTAGATCACACCTAAAGGAACTAGAAAAACAAAAACAAACTAACCTCAAAGCTAGCAGAAGAAAAGAAAAAACTAAAATCAGGGCAGAGATGAATAAAATTGAGACCCAGAAATTCATACAAAAATCAGGAAAATGAAAACATTGTTTTTCAAAAAAATAAACAAGATCTTAGACCGCTAGCTAGAGTAACAAAGAAATAGAGAGAAGATTCAAGTAAGAACAATCAGAAATGACAAAGGTGACATTACAACCAATCACTCAGAAATACAAAAGACCCTCAGAGGCTATTATGAACACCTTCATACACACAAGCTAAAAAATCTGGAGGAAATAGATGTCTTTTGCAACTACTCGGATGGAACTAGAGGCCATTTTCCTAAGTAGTAACTCAGGAACAAAAAAGCAAATACCTCCTGTTCTCACTTGTAAGGGAAAGCTAAGCCATGGATACACAAAGGCATACAGAGTGGACATTGGAGACTCAGAAGTGGGGATGGTGGAAGGAGCTGAGGGACAAAAAAATCACCTGTTGGGTACAATGTACACAGTTTAAGTGACAGGTACACTAAAAGCCCAGACTTTACCACTATACAATTCATTCAAGTAACAGAAACCACTTGTACCCCTAAAGCTATTGAAATAATAAATAAATAGGGCGAGGCGTGGTGGCTCACGCCTGTAATCCAAGCACTTTGGAGGCCAAGGCAGGCGGATCACCTGAGGTTGGGAGTTCAAGACCAGCCTGACCAACATGGTGAAACCCCGTCTTAAAAATAATAATAAATAAATAAATAAATAAATAAATAAATAAATGCTTTCTTTCTTCTTAGCCATTATAATCAAGCAAGAAAAAAGAATAGAAGATATACCTACTGAAAAGAAAGAAACAAAGCAGTCCTTGTTCAGCAATGGTATGATTATATATGTAGAAAGTCCTAAGAAATCTACAAAAAGAATACTAAAACTAATAAAGGACAGTATAATAAAAGTCAATGTATAAAATTAATTTATATTTCTGTATACTAATAATGACATTAAAAATTGGAAGTTTAAAAACATCATTTAAATGTCACAAGCAACCTATTACAGGATCCATTTGGCAAAAAATACACAAGTCTTGCATACTGAAAACTACAAAACAATGGTGAAAATAATTTTAAAGACCCAAATAAAAAAGGTATACTATGTTTATGAATTGGAAGACTCAAATCGTTAAGATGTCATTTCTTTCCAAATTGATTTATAGATTCAATGCAGTTCCAATCAAAATCTAAGTAGTTATTTCTATAGAAATTGACAAGCTGATTCAAACATTTATATGAAAATTGCAAAAGACCTAAAATAGTTAAAACAACTTTACAGAAGAAAAACTAAGTGAGAGGATTTATATCATTTGATTTCAAGACTTACTGTAAAACAATAACAATCAAGATCTTCTATTGACATATAGATAAAAAGATACATCAGTGGAATAGAGTAGACAGTCTAGAAATAGGCTCATACCTTTGAGGGTAACATCCAACTTTTATTTTTATAGACACTGTTAAGAAAATGAAAGGAGAAGCAACAGACTGGGAGAAACTTTAATGTATCTGTTACATATTACATAACTTCTATCAAGAATATATAAAGAATTTACAACTCAATAAGAAATTTACAACAGAATTTTAAAATGGGCAAAATATTTGAATAGATACTTTGCAAAACTGGATCTACAAATGGCCAATACACATATGAAAATATGCTCAATATTAGCAATGATTAAAAAAGTTAAATTAAAACCACAGTGTGTTATCAATGCATATCCAATAATATGATGCTGTTAAAAGGACTGCCAAAATTAGCCAGGCGTAGTGGCACGTGCCTGTAATCCCAGCTACTCAGGAGACTGAGGCAGGAGAATCGCTTTAACCTGGGAGGCGGAGGTTGCAGTGAGCCGAGATCGCACCACTGCACTCCAGCTTGTGTGACACAGCAAGACTCTGTCTCAAAAAAAAAGGACTGCCAATGCCAAGTATTCATAAGAAGCAACTGAAACTCTTATGCATTGAGGCGAAGATATAAAAAATACCATGGCTTTGCAAAATAATTTGGCTGTTTCTTATATGGTGTGATATATTTTTACCATGTGACCCAGAAATTCTAAGTATTTTTCTCAAGAGGAAAAACAGTTGAACAAAAGGACTTGAACATAATAGAAGTTTATTCACAACAGGCAAAAACCAGAAACAACACAAATGTTCATCAACAAGTGAATGGGTAAATAAGTCATGTTATATTCATACAATGGAATTCTGCTCAGCAAATTCAAAGTTTAACTACTGATACACACGATAACATAGATGAATCTAAAAAATGTTATATCTTAACTGTGGTGGTGGTGGTTACACAGGTGTAAAAAGTGAATGTATTTTATTGTATGTAAATTAAACATTTATAAATTTGCTTTTAAAAATAAGCCAGTATCAGACTTTCTAACAGAAAGATCAGCCTGACAATGCCTGAAGCTACTGATTTATCTTGACATCACAAAAAGATATTCAGGTAATCAAACATGTTTTTCTCCTGACATAATGTGATAGATACAATAGGACAGTTTTTTTTTTTGAGATGGAGGTTTGCTCTTGTTACTCGGGCTGGAGTGCAATGGAACAGCCTCAGCTCTCTGCAACCTCTTCCTCCCAGGTTCAAGCAATTCTCTTGACTCAGCCTCCCAAGTAACTGAAATTTCAGGTGTCCCCCTCCACACCCAGCTAATTTTTTTGTATTCTTAGTAGAGACAGGGTTTCACCATGTTGGCTGGGTTGGTCTCGAACTCCTGACCTCAGGTGATCCATCCACTTCAGCCTCCTAAAGTGCTGGGATTACAGGTGTGAACCACTGCACCCAGCTGCAATAGGACATTTAAAACACCATTTATGTAATGTTCTTGCCAGAAAATCAACCCTGAATCTATATAGTATCTAGATCCAAATACCAGTTTAAAGACAAAGGACAGAGAAACTTGTTAAACTATTAAGAGGTGTACAATCAGCAGAAACCAGAATGTGGGAAACTCTAGACGATAAATAAATGATGTGTTTTCTTCAACAAGTAGATTACAAAGGAAATTAAAAGGGTGAGGAAGTCTATAAAATTGTCTTACTGTGAGTCTCCTAGTAAAGACAGCCTGCGGGAAAGCTTATTCCAGGAAATGAGGGGAAGGGGAAACAGAAGAGAAAATAGGTCAATAAAAGAGTGTGCATTTCTGACCTGCCACATTTGGTGCCAAGTGTGCAGTCTTGAGGGGCTGTCTTCTGAGACACAATTTGAGCTACAGCCTACTTAGGAAGAGGAAGATGGAAGAATTGATGCACTAGCTCCCATCACCCGTTGATCAAATGTTTACCTTTGAGTGTTGACAACCCCAAACTTCCCTGTTGCACATTCATGGGTCCCAAAATAACTCACACTTCATGGAAAAGGAATTCCCAAGAAGGAATGCAGGAAGCCCATGGCATGGGCGTGATGCCTCACCACTGTTGGGTTTTGTTTATGTGAAGCCTGTGACTAAAGCAACTGGAATGAAACAAGTGGCCAAGGGCCTGGGGAAAGGTGGCTGAGAGGATCTGAGGTGGTGAGCCTAAAAGGGGCTTGATACATAGACTTAAGAGACATATTAACCAAACACAAAGTGAGGACCTTGCTTGGATGCCTATTCAAACAAGTTGTAGAAAAAACATTTATGAGATAATTGGAAGAAATTGAAAAATTGAAAAATGACTGGATATTTAATATTAAAGAATTATATTTGAGTTACAGTAACACTACTATGTTTATCATTTACAGATGCATGCTGAAGAATTTGTGAAGTAATAAGATGTCCAGTATTTGCTTCTAAATAATCTATTGGGCAGAGACAGAGGTAAAGATAACCAAAGTTGGCCATGTGTTGATAATGATTAACGCTATATGCTTATTATATGAAATTTTTTATACCCTTTTGTTTACTTCTCCCTGTTTAAAATAATCCATGGTATATTTTTAAAACTATTGCACTAAGAGCTTTTATGTTAAAAGTTCTGGTACGTGGGTGGGTTGCTCCCACTTAGAGGAAACAGCAATATGCTGACTTTAAATCTCTTTTCTTGGACTGGTCAGAGTTCCCAGAGAAGATCCTCTCAAATCCCTGCCTGCAGGGTGTATTTCTGATGCAAGAGCTCTGGGAACAAATGAAAGACAGACTTGGGGTAGTCTCACCATTCAAAATGCCCAATTTCACTTATCTCCCTGTTTTTAGTATGGTACCCCTGATCTCAACTGTGTTTGATATCCCTCAGCCTCCTCTGTTCTCCCTCTCCAGAGAATAAACCTCCTATCTTCTTCTGCAAGCAGAATGAGCATTTGCCCAGCTATGCAGATAAGGAAGAATGGATCTCTCCGTCTCTAGATCTTCAACCAATCCTGTTTTCCCACTTCTAGAGGCGGGGGTGAGCAACCTGCTCTCTATTCCAGAGACTTTTGGGGATTCAGCATCAAAAATCATGCTGCTTCTTAGTGTTTCCTAAAGTCAATTTAAAGTTAATGTTTTGGGGACCTTATCCATCTATTTCCTCAGTTCTAAAATGTTGATGTTGGGTTAGTTTATGTCTTTTTACAAGAAAAATCAATTTACTGACATTTTAGTAGAATTTAAAGAAGCAGCAAAACTAAAGCAACAGATTTATAAGGACATAATTCATATACCATCCAACTCATTGAATTAAAATGTAAGCTCAGTGGTTCTTAGTATATTCACACAGTTGTACAACTACCACCAACACCAATTTTAGAAAATTGTCATCACCCCAGAAAGAAACCTTATACTCATTAGCAGTCACTCCCAATTTCCCTCCAAACTCCAAGCCCTAAGCAACCACCAATCTATTTTATGTCTCCAAAAACATTTGCCTATTTGGGCACTTCATATAAATACAATAATATAATATGTGGTCCTTTGTGACTAGCTTCTTTCACTCAGCATATTTTCAATATTTATTCAGAATGTAGCCTGTATCAATACTACCTTTAATTGCCAAATAATATTCCATTTTATAAACATATCACATTTTATATATCCATTTATCAATTGATGAACATTTGAGCTGTTTCTACTTTTTGGCTGTTATGAGTAATGCCATATGGACATTCTTTTTTAACTTTTATTTTGGGTTCAGAGGTACATGTGCAGGTTTGTTATGTAGATAAATTATGTGTCACAGGAGTTTGGTGTACATATTATTTCATCACTGATGTAATAAGCATAGTACCCAGTAGACAGTTTTTCAGTCCTCTTTCCACCCACCTTCCACCCTCAAGTAGACCCCAGTGTCTGTTGTCCCCTTCTTTGTGTCCATGTGTACTCAATGTTTTGCTCCCACTAATAAGCAAGAACATGTGGTATTTAGTTTTCTGTTCCTGTGATAGTTTAAGAGTATGTTCTCCAGCTCCATCTATGTTACTGAAAAGAACATTATCTCATTCCTTTTTATGGCTGCATAGTATTCCATCGTGTATATGTGCCATATTTTCTTTATCCAGTCTACTGTTGATGGGCATTCAGATTGATCCCATGACTTTGCTATTGGGAATAGTGCTGCAATTGCACATATGTCTGGGTGTCTTTATGGTAGAACAATTTATATTCCTTTGGGTATATACCCAATAATGGGATTGCTGGGTCAGTTTTGTTTTAGGTTCTTTCAGAAATTGTCAAACTGCTTTCCACAGGCGCTGAACTAATTTACATTCCCACAAGCAGTGTATAAGCGTTCCCTTTTCCTCCACAGTCTTGCCAGCTTCTGTTATTTTCTTTTGACTGTTTAATAATAGACATTCTAACTGGTGTGATATGGTATCACATTTTGGTTTTGATTTCCATTTCTCTGATGATTAGTGATGTTGAGCATTTTTTCATATGCTTCTTGGCTGCCTGTATGTCTTTTCCTGAGAAATGGCTACTCATAGTCCTTTGCCCATTTTTTAATGGAGTTGTTTGGTTTTTGCTTGTTAATTTGTTTAAGTTTCTTATATATTCTGGATATTAGACCTCTGTTGGATGCATAGTTTGCAAATATTTTCTCTCATTCTGTTGTCTGTTTACTCTGATGAGAGTTTCTTTTACCATGAAGAAGCTCTTTAGTCTAATTAGGTCCAATTTGTCAATATTTGTTTTTGTTGCAATTGCTTTTGGCATTTTCATCATGAAATCTTTGCCAGGGCCTAGGTCCAGAATGGTATTTCCTAGGTTATCTTCCAAGGTTTTTATAGTTTTACATCTTACATTTAAGTCTATAATTCGTTTTGAGTTTATTTTGTGTATGGTATAAGGAAGTTCAGCTTCAATCTTATGCATATGGTTAGCACCATTTATGGAATAGGGAGTCCTTTCCTTAATGCTTGTTTTTGTCAGCATTGTCAAATATCAGATAATTGAAGGTGTGCAGCTTTATTTCTGGGCTCTAGCAAGTCAAATCCAGCAGCACATCAAAAAATTAATCCACCATGATCAAGTAGGCCTCATCCCTGGGATGCAAGTTTAGTTTAACATAAACAAATCAATAAATGTGATTCACCATATAAACAGAACTAAAAGAAAAACCACATAACCATCTTAATATATGCAGAAAAGGCTTTTGATAAAATTTAACATCCCTTTATGTTAAAAATTCTCAACAAACTAGGCACTGAAGGAACATACCTCAAAATAACAAACACACAGCCAACATCATACTGAATGGATGGAAGTGGTAAAAGGTACTGAAACATACAAGTATGTTTCAGATAAACCACAAATAGTATAACCCACTAACAGCTCATTAATTCACTTTTTTTTTTTTTTTTTTTTTTTGAGGTGGAGTCTCACTCTGTCACCCAGGCTAGAGTGCAGTGGCATGATCTCGGCTCACTACAACCTCCACCTCCTGGATTCAAGTGATTCTCCTGCTTCAGCCTCCTGAGTAGTTGGGACTACAGACATGTGCCACCACACCCGGCTACTTTTTGTATTTTTGGTAGAGACAAGGTTTCCCCATATTGGCCAGTCTGGTCTCAAACTCCTGACCTCAGGTGATCCACCCACCTCAGCCTCCCAAAGTGCTGGAATTACAGGTGTGAGCCACTGTGCCCAACCTTAAGAAGTAATTTGAAGCCAGATCACAAAGTGCCTTAATAGCCATGCTAAAGAGCTTAGACTTTATTCTATAGACCTGTGCTTCTCAAACTTTAATGTGCATTTGAATCTATGAAAATGCAGATTTTGATTCAGTAGGTCTGGTGTGAGATTCTACATTTTGAGCAAGTTCCAATGTGAAGCCAATGCTGTTGCTCCAATGATCACACTTTGAGGAGCAAAGCTAGAATGCAGTAGGAGCCATTATAAGTTTCCATGCACACATAATTCAGCCAGTTTAAGAAGGCTGGCTCTGACTACAATGCAAACAGGTACAAACAGTATTAAGAGCCAGTAAAAACTAAAGCTCCTGAATTTCCTTAGAGTTGATATACATAGTTACAACATGTTCTCCAGTGGTGTCCAAATGCAGAAAAAGGGAAGCCGAGAAACAGAAAGAGAGCTTACCCCATGGAGTACACTGGCCACCCACCTACTGCGCTCCCCAAGATGTTTGCTGGAGGAAGGCTGTTTGCTGATGACTGACTGGACTTTCTAGCTGAGCATCTCAGGGCCCTCAGAACCTCCACAGCCAGCCTCCAGTCTTTTTGCCCCTTTAGAAGTGACTAAAGGGCAAGACTCCAGAATTTCCATTGGGTAGCTTTGGGCTATCAAAACAGCAGAGACTGGGGGGAAAACAAAGAATGATCTTATGCTCTTTAGAAATGCCGAAGAGTTTAATAATATACTTAACACGACTGGCCCCTTGCCTGCACATGCTTGCTCCATGACTGTTACAGGCAAATTATCTTTGTGTAGCTAAGCAGAATTAAGCCTGAAGCATCTTCTTTTTAGGATCTCACTTATGCTTGCATTTAACATGCCTGGTAGTTCTAAACAGGAAAAATTAGGGGAAGGAAAAGCCTTAATACTATCTTTTAAAGTGATTTAATTTTCCCAAAATTATAAAAGTGCTACTATATTATTGTAAAAAAAATTAATTGCAGAAAATATAAAGAAGTAGAAATAAAAATGATTAACATTTCAATCTCCAATAATTACTATTAATTTTTTTTTGGAGGGGAGAGGAACGGAGTCTCCCTCTGTGTACCAGGCTGGAGTGCAGTGGTGCGATCTCAGCTCACTACAACCTCCACTTCCCAGGTTCAAGCAATTCTCCTACCTCAGTCTTCTGGGTAGCTGGGATTACAGGCATGCGCCACCATGCCCTGCTAATGTTTGTATTTTAGTAAAGACAAGGTCTCACCATGTTGGCCAGACTAGTCTCAAAATCCTGACCTCAAGTGATTTGCCTGGCTGGGCCTCCCAAAGTGCTGAGATTATTCAAATATTTTGATGTACTTCTTCTCGTGTTTTCTTTCTTTCTTTTATAACAGATATTCTGCTTACTGCTCTTTCCTCTTAATGTCACAAAATGAGCATTTCTTCTGCTATTATCATTTTGTAAACAAATTTTTTTTTAAATCGCTGATTATAAAGCAAGTTGCACTGCCAAGTTTTTTTTAGGAGAATATGTAAAAATTCTCCTCTTTTCTACATTTGCTTGTGTTTTCAATCAAGTAACTTGGTATGTAGTTAGGCCTAGAAAACATGATTAATGAAGATTATATAATATTCTATAAAATGGATATTACACAATTTAATCACCATTACACAATTTAATCAATCCACCTCTTTCTTTAAAACAGATCATTCAACAAATTTTTACTAACACTGTGACAGGCATTGTTCTAGGTTTTGGAATCAGGAAATCC